GGTAGGTGGGTGGGTGGGCAGGGGCTGATGAATCTGGGAAGTTATCAATATCTCACTTCAGGAGGGGGGTGCTGCCAGGAATCTTGAAAAAGTTGTTATGCATTCCCTTCTAACAAAGCCTTCCCTTGATCTGATTGTATTGGACAATTATCAGCTGGTCTCTAACCTTCCCTTTTGGACTGTTATCTGGTAACCAAATTATAGAGCACTGCAGAGAAAATAGCTTATCTGGACTCTTTCAGTCAGGATTCAGGCCAGGGCATGTGATGGAAAGGACAGTGTTTTCTTTAGTTGATAACATTTATCAGGATGCAGAGGGAGGTGCAACCCTTTTGGTCCTCCTGGACCACTCAGTGGCCTCCCATGCCATCAATCATAATATTGTTCTGGACTGCTTGTGAGAGTTGAGGATTGGGGCACTATGTTGCAGTGGCTCCACCCTTACCTGACTAGATAGTTCCAATTGGTGGTGGTAGGGAAGGAGAGGCTGCACTGTGGCTACTTTCTTGTGATGTGTCCCACAGCTCAGTCTCCTATCCACTACTTTTCAACATCTATAGGAAGGTATTGGAAAATGTCATTTGTTGGTTTGGGGTGTGACATCATCAGTCTTGCTAACCTAGACCACTCTAGAAATGCTGTTGAAGTCTTGCCTGGTGCCTGGAGGCAGTTACAGTCTGGATGGGATGAAGCAGGTTGAAGCTGACCCAAGCAAGACAAGAGTTACTGTTTGGGCATTGAGGCCTCAGTGTTGTGACTTCATGAAGAAGTAGTACTCCTGCAGGATTTGGAGGGTCTTCCTGGATTCTGTGCTACTGCTAGTTAAGGAGATGGGATGCAGAGAGGCTTTGCCCAGCTTTGACTGGTGCACCAATTGCAGTTCTATTTGGAGTGAGAGGACCTTAGCATAGTAATTCTCATCCTCATCACCACCTGCCTGGACTGTTGCAGTGTCATTATATGGATCTGCCTCCGAAGTCCATCTGGAAGCTGCAGTTGGTACAGAATGTAGTGGCTTCTTTGTGAATTGATACTGTGCATGGTGATCATATTATATCTGTGCTTCAGACCCTGCATTGGTTCCCAGTAGGCCTTCCAGTATAATTCAAAATGCCAGCTCTGACCTATAGAGCCCTGCATGGCTGAGACCAAAATACTTGCAGAATCACCTTCTCTTACTACAGTAAATTGGTTGGTGCAATCATCCTGGAAGAAGCTGCTGGTTTCTTCCAAGAATTAAGGGGAGGGTGAATGAAATCAGGCTTGCTTGGTTTTGTTCAAGAAGATGCTCAGAAGTGAGCTGTTCCATAGAGCATTTGTGGACTGACTGGCATTATGGCTGGGGATTCTGGGAGTTGAAGTCCACACTTCTTAAAGTTGCTGAGGTTGATTATTGCTGATTGTATTTTAATTTTGTTTTCCTACCACAGAGAGTTATTTTAATGCTGCTGTGAACGTTTTATCTGGATAACATTATTAACTGCTGGAAGTCCAATGGAATTTGGTAGTACAGGTAGTCCCCAGTTTAAGAATGAGTTCCATTTCCAAGGTCTGTCCTTAAGTCAAATTTGTATGTAAGCCAGAACAGTATTATTGTATAATAATGTATAAGTAGAATTGTGTAATGAACTTGAATCGTGTATTTAACTCAGATCATTGTGCATTTAACTCGAATTTTCTATGCTAGGCTCCGTTCTTAACTATGGGCCTGTAACCCGGGTATTCTTAACCTGGGGACTACCTGTATACAAGTTGAATAAATAAAGATGATGTTATGACTTAACTTATACCAAATGCTTTTAATATTTTTCAGTTGATTACTGCATTCTGCATTGCTTTTTAATCCCAAAGGAAATTGCTAGCAGATGTTAAACATCAATGCCAGATATAACATACTAATTCTGTTTGATTGTAGTGATCTATTTTTAGCATACATCCCAGAAAATTAATGGGTTTAGATCCTACTACTTATAAATATACTACACTTAGTTTAATAACATTATGATTCTATGCATGTTGGTTATTTATTTAAGCAAAATTCCTTTTTCCCAGTGTGAAGGCTACTATGGTTGAAGTCGGAAAGAGCATAGATTATACTAAATTCTGCTAGTTAAGTTTTTCTAATTACGTTCTGTATACCATTGGTGATATTTGTCATGATTTTCAGCTATGCAGCTTGTGGGACCTAACTGAAATTTGCATTCCTATCTGTCATTGAATAAACCTGTCAAGTTTGGTGGGGCCCAGTACACTTTGAAATACAGTGTGTGATATTGGGGCAGAATGTTCATCATTTAAATTTTTTTTTAAAAGATGTAGGATGGATAATTAATTCACACTTTTTTTACCTTAACACAGGCCCAGACTTCTGTTGCATCAAAGACACCAACTATGAAACCTGCTGAAACAAAGGTATGCCTTCTGAAAAATGGGGTGAGCAAGTCACTCTTGCTGAGTCATCTACGTAAGGGGGACTTTTATATCAACTCTTCGAGTGATGGTTGCAGCTCTCAATATTTTTTGAAAGTTTTTAATGAGCGAAGAGAGAAGTTGCTGGCTGGAGCTGGGAACAGATATGAAACTAGTTTACTATGGTTATTATTATATTTTTGCATAGATTATACTAAACTGTGCTGCTTAAGTTTTTCTAATTAAGTTCTGCATATCACTGGTATGTTCTTTGTCATGATTTTCAGTGAAAAGCTTTCTGAATTTAACTCATGGATTTGTTTGGTGTAAGTTTTCAACTGTATTATTGCTTTGGATGAGAATTTAGCATTATCACATTAACTCTTTGGAAAGTTTATATGAGAGAATATTGCAATACATATTAGCAGTATTTAAGAACTACTCTGGTTTATGGGACACCGTTCTGCTATTATCTACCACTAGCTGTAGGGTAATTATGTCACATGATTCAGTAGGGAAGATAATGCTGCTGAATATTGTAATGGAGTATGTCCAAAATCATTCCTCTTACATTCCTGAGATATACAGTACTGTGCAAAAGTTTTAGGCAGGTGTGAAAAAATGCTGTAAAGTAAGAA